GGGGGCGGGGGGATGGAAAAAGCACCCTGAATATCAGCAAAGGGTAAGTCACTTCCTTTCTTCTGCCGCTGCCTTAAGATCCTCGGTAGCAGTGACAACAGCAGCATCTGGTGGCAGTGGTCAGTACCTGGGGTGCTCCTCTCCGCTGTCCCATCGCCCCGGCCAGCAGCAGCGCCCATCGCACCGCTCGCCCGCCGGGGCTCAGCTCGCTGCACCCCCAGAAGAGACGATTTCCCGCAGCCTCCCGGCCGCAGCGGCAGCGAGGAGCTGCGGATCAATTGCCACCACCTAATCCGGGACTAATCTCAGGGATTCAGGCCACGGATGAGCTGAGGACGAGGGGCCCCGCGCCCCAAGGCTCGGGCGGGCGCTGCCGGGGGGACACGGGACCGCGCACCCCAAGGCTGAGGCACGGCGAGCACGGCCACCAGCCCCAGCTCCCGCACGAAACACTGCAAGGCAAAGTAAACCATGCTGGCGTCCAACAACTTCTTGGTAAAAGCGAGTTCCGAAAGCCAGCAGGATTTGGGGGCAGCCGCAGTTGCCAGCGGCTCACGCTCACATGATCCCAGATTTCTGCTCTCACACACACGGGCGGATGTTTCGGCAGGACAAATGTCCTGCTCCCAGGTGATCCGGCTCTCGTTAGTATTTTAAGAGCTTATTTAATGTTTTAAGAGCAACGGCAATGATAATAAAACACTTTGAAGCCAGCAGTACGCAGATAGAGGCGAAAACAACGAAAGTTGTTTCCTTTCAGTATAATCCGGCATCTCAAAATAAACGATAACTATTAGGTTTGCTACAACTTAATAAAAAGAGATAAATAACCCACTGACAGAGAAACAGTTACATACATCTCTTGATACATTAGAATTAATTTGCGTCTAGGAAGCCGCACTCATTTCCCTCTGCTTGTGTTTTAAGAGTTTGATCCCAAAGTATCACAACAGTAAGGTGAGCCGAGAGCATCCTGAGCTGCTGTACCGACGCAGGAGAGCGTTTTCTCCTTTTATTAACTTTTTTCGACGCAATTACCCGAATTTAGCCCGGAAGGCAGCAAGGATTACGTCTGGGATGATCGCACTCCCTCCAAAGAGATCTGGGTCCCCGGGCTTTGTAGCTGAAACATCAGCGCTGTTTACCCACAGCGAGCAAGGCGACACTCGCAGAAAACTCTTTATCCCTGAAGTAGCATCTATCCCCTTCGCTTCGCTTTCTCCAGGATGAGAGAAATTTCCTAGAGCACCTCCGCGCTCTCAAATATCCCCTGCGCATCCCTCTCCCGTTACAAGTGCAGGCTGCTTCGCCTCGCAGCTGCAGCGAGCGGGGAAAATGTGAGTGATGGAGGTCTCCCCGCCGTGCTGGGGATCGGGGGCACACGGACACCCCCAGCCCGGAGCTGGGTGCCCCGTCCGCAGGAGCGCAGCGGCAGGTGAGGGACGGAGGCGAGAGACGGGGCCGGACCCCGCTCGGGAGGAGCCGCGACCCGGCCCGGCGGCTCCGCAGCTCGAGAAGAAGGTGCAAAACAACAACGCGGCGAAGAACAACAGGAAAAAAAGTACCCGACAACAACCTCAACAACAACCGCCCCAGGGCGCGCATCGCCCCGGGCCGGGCGCCCCCGGAGCGGAGGAGGTTAAACCGAGCCCGCACAGACACACGGACACACGGACACACGGACACACGGACACCGCGCTCCGCTCCCGGCCCGCCCCGCCGAGCAGCGCCCGGGCTCGGGCTCCCCCCGCCCGCTGCGGGCGGCCCGGCCACCCGACGGCTCCCCCCGCTCCGCTTCCAGACCACTTTCAAAATTCCCTCCCGCGGGAGCCGGCGCCGCCGGTACTTTTCCCTCCCCGTGCCCGTTCCCGTGCCCGCGGAGCAGCGGCGGGACGCGCCGAGCCCGGGGACCCCCCGCGCCCCCGGTACCTTGTTGCAGTGATAATAATCCAGCGGGCCGAGGCAAGTGGGGTCCGCGCCGGGCAGCGAGCCCACGGCGGGGGGGGCGGAGGGGTAGAACCGAACGTCCATGCCGGGGCTGCGGGCGGCGGCAGGCGGGGGCTCCAGCGGGCATGGACCCGGCTGCGGCGGCGGCGGTGCCTCTGGCGCGGGGAGAGGGCGGGGAGAGGGCGGGCGGCG